GTTTATATACCCTTGGAGCGGTGTGTTCACTTCTGATTGGCTGCTTACTCGTTACCCTACAAAACGCCCCGGGATAGGCTGTGACTTTGGAGCGCTTTTACCATAGCACATGAGCGGTTTACTTGTTTACTTGGAGGAGGACCGGATGCCAGTGCCATCTTGTAATGGTGAATGCTGTCAGCACAAGCCGCGGCTTTCCACATCTCCCACTTTCATAACTCAAGCAGTGTACCATATCTTCTGAAGAACTGCAGGTAGATCATAATTCAAGGCAGTGTACCATATAGACCATGACATGTTTCAAGGCACAGGCCAAGAAGTTTTTGTACTTTTCCACCACCTGGACCCTCTTACCCCCCTCCCCTTGTAAAACATGCTATAAAAAAAGCATTTCATGTTCAAAAAAAAAAAAGAAAAAAAGAATCACAGGCACTGGCCAATGTCCCGTGTCTTAGGCTAGTTGACATTCTTCCATAGCCAGCACCAAAGAATGGTGAGCTCCCTGTCTTAGGCTACGAGGGTCACACACACACACCTGGCATTCTCAGAATGTGTGCCCCAGGTTGTGGCCTCTCGAAATGCCCGTCATGGGGTAAACTCACAGCTCATGGTGTACCTCTGGCTTATGGCATCAACCTATTCCAGTCGTAGGGACCAATGGCAGCTGGCCTGGAGACGAAAAGATGGAGCTATCCTTGGCCTGTCTAGCATGGTACCAATCATGACTCAAACTCAAGCCTGATCAAGCATAGTCCATCTTGGGGGAATAAGCGATCAAGGACTGATAGTTTAAGACAGTCTCCCTTACCCTACCAGGTGCAATGGAAACAAGTCCTCTGGGTGCAAGGGCTAGGGGAAACAGAGAGGGATGCAAACACCCGTCCCTGTGCAATGGAGCCATCTCCCAGGGGTGCAAGGGCTGTTTGCCTCAAATTCGGGTACCAGAGCTACACAGACAAGGACGAGCCAGGCCAAGACTCCTCACCGACCCAGTGCAATGGGTAAATCCCTTGGGGTGCAACGGCTGAGGAATCTGTCTACTGGCTATTTCTTTAATCATGGGTAACCAAATTTCAGGAGATGAGCCTTATTCTAGGGCTGTAAGTGCTTGGGTAATAACGACCTTGTCACGTTTTTGTTGAGCTCTGAGCTTGCAGACCAACCATAGCATGAACACTAATCAACAACATAGGGCATACCAAACAGGCCTACTCCCACCCACTTTTTAAAGAAAGAGAAAGCTGAAGAGATCCAGGAGGAGAGTCACTCAGTCAGGGACAGATCCACGCGCATCGAGTTGATGGCCACCACAGCCACTCTCAATTTTTTGAGTGTCTCATCTAAGTTTTCTGACCAATTTCCTGCAAGATATTGAGACAGTTTCCTGGAGAGATTAGTTACATTATGTCTGACTTGTATGGGTTTTGGAAAGGCAGATAATATGGCCCATCATTGTTCCCCCAATATACTGGGAACCTGTATCCCTTGGATCAGCACGAGGGCTGTCATCAGAGTTTGGAGGGTCCGCCTGGGTGTCATCTTCTAATATCGCGAGTCGTTTCGTCAGTCGCTCTGGTAGCCAAAATGGGTTGTCTTCTTCCTGCAGAAAAAACACAAACCGCTTCCCTGCCTCTTATTAAAATAAGATCCGGGCCTCTCCATTGTCCGGTCAAGACATCTTTCCATTTGCCCATCTCTTTTGGCCTGTCAGGCTCTAAACAGTGACGGTCAGCAGCCGAATGGCCCTGACTGTCCAGATTTTAAAAGATTAAGGGTAAAAAGTGCTATAGAAACGGTGACTCGTGGCACTGAGGGTAGAGCCTCCTCGACTCCCCCTTTTGGTTTTAATTAGATAAGACTTAAGAGTGCAATGAACCCGTTCTATAATGCCTTGTCTTTAAGGGTTATAAGGAAGACCCGTCAGATGGGTCACCTCCATTTGGCGACAAAATTGTCCAAACTTTTGAGAAGTGTAAGCTCGTTAAATTAAACTGTGTTTGTATAAATAACTGTAAAATTTGAGAATTAGCAATGTCTAAAAAGGCAACAATTTTAAGTAGTTACAAACCATGAGCCATTTACTGTCTATGAGTGTACCAAATGAAAGCTTGATTTTTTCATCATTTCAAACAGTGGTTACAGCACATAATTTAATTATTTGTGCTGAAGCAGGGGAAAATTCAAGAAAATGAAGATATACATTGAGAGATTTAAATGTTTAACTTTTCATTATCTCTAACTCCTGGCCTATAAGCTGTCTTGAATTTCTTTTGAGTCTGAGGCTGACACCTCCCTAAGGAACAAACAAGGCAATAAACAAATTCTAGAACACACCCTTCTAGGGGCAGGTCAGGACAAAAGGAATGTCTGAAATACAAGCTTCTGCCGCACCCACTCTGTATATAGCCTTAATTTAAATGTAAATATTTTTAATCTTGGCCTATATCCTGAGGCCTGGCCCAAAGATTATCCTTCTTGTACCAAGGACAAGTTTCTGTCATGTAACCTTGGTCACATGACTGTTGCTCCAGCCTCTGTTCCTGGGACAGTCACTTTAAAAACTATCTAAATTTCCACATTTAAAACATCTTTTATCTTTACAGTTCTGTGTAAGCTATGGCCAGAGCCTGATTGTATGAGGGTGTGATTTCATTGCAAAGACAAATGTATCTAAGTCTGTCTTTGTTTGTATGGTCTGAGAGCTGTGTAGGCAGTTCAACCTGATTAGCATCACACTGACCTTCTCCTACAAGCATGTTTTTTTTTTTTTTTTTTTTTTTTTTTTGGTTTTTTCAAGACAGGGTTTCTCTGTGTAGTTCTGGCTGTCCTGGAACTCACTTGGTAGACCAGGCTGGCCTCGAACTCAGAAATCCGCCTGCCTCTGCCTCCCAAGTGCTGGGATTAAAGGCGTGCACCACCACCGCCCGGCCTCCTACAAGCATGTTAAGATCCCAATCTACATGCCTGTCTGAGCATTCATCATGGCATTATGATTTTTACTAGTGTTACTCCAATTTGAGCTCCAAATCAAGTAATCTCCTCCTGACAAAATAGGCAAGTCTCCTCTATCCTCTTCTCAACCATAAACATGGGTGAGTCAAAGAATTCTAAACTCACAGTTGAACTACCAACTGTAGCCAATGGAATACTGGCAGTTTAACTATAATTTTGAGTTTCTTTTGCAACATTAGAGTATAACCATTAATTTTGAGAAGCAAAACCAGAAGCAATGTAAACAATTTATTTTTCTAAAATCAACACCAAGTAGATTACCTTTATGTTAAAAAGTTTTGCTGCCAATTCTTACATATGAATGGATGAAGCAGCTTTTATTATCTCATTCAAGAGATACTGTTTTAAAATCTTATTTTTTATACATCTGGTTTCTGAATGACTCTAACCCTGAGTTAGTTTTACACCAACATTCTGTTACCAAAGTTGTAAATTTCTAATCACACCCAACAATTTAAGCCAATAATCTATAACCAAGACATGTAGAACATTTTTATACTTTTAAAACCAATCAGAAACAATAATGAAGTGGCTATGCATCTTATATACTTAGACCAAACAAATTTTGTTGCCTTTTCTAGCTGTAATTTCAAGAGAAAAGCACCTTGTCACAGAGATTTTTCTAGGACAAAACAACTCTTAGCTTCCTTATAAAACCCAAAAAGCTACTGGTCTCTTTTAAAAGCAGCTTATGCCATCCTCAATTCCTGGAAAGGCTTTTACAGCTCAGCTCAACTCTTAGCTACAGGTGTAGGGTAGCTTATCAGCCTCTGCTGTGTATATTAAGACTGTGTATATTAAAACAAAGTTAAACTAGCCCAAGAGTTGGATATGTAACCGTTTTTGTCTTTTGAACATGCAACATAGAACATACATTTAGACAACGAAACAAAAAACAAACAATTGACACATGAGGACATTGGCTTGCCAAGGACAGACAACAAAGAAGGACATCTAAGAGCTAAATAAAGAGAAATTCAGGACTTCTCCCGAATTTCTTTCTTTTTCTAGATGAGCTCTGAAATAGCCTTTTCATTCCTTTTTGCTGACACAGCTCAGAGAGAGGACAACTGTTTTTCTAAAACCCTTTCTCTCTCTTTCATAGTCAAGATGTAACTTTCTTGAGAAGCATCATACCATAAAGCTTTCCATTCCATAAACTGTCCCATATTAGGGAGAGCAGCTTTTACTGTATTTTGCCAATCATTCAGAGTCATTGCCATAGTGGCAAATCTCTCAAGCTGCATAACTGTAAAATTAGCATCAACTCCATATTTGTTAACCGATTCAGCAAGTTCTTTGATAGAGGCATACTCTACAGGTCCGTGGACACGGCCTCCCCCCACCCCGAGTCCTCAAATACTGGAAAGGCTTGTAACATCTTTCTTTTGTCTTCCTTTGAAAGGAAGGAGTGTGAGCAGTGCTTGTCCGCATAAGGCGGAAGTGCGCCGGGACATTAGGTTGGGAGGGCGTGACAGGCCGAGAGGCCATGCGGCTCCTATCTATCTCCCGTTTTCCTTTGCTGTTGATTTCGCAGAGGCAACCACTCATCTGGCTGGTATCTTTCCTCCTCATAGCAGACTGTCTCTTCGTCCAAATCCTCCCATTCAGAGGAAGTTAGCTCCTCCGTCTCAGAGCCATCAAGCCCCAAAACCTCTGGCTCCTTTACCAGATAAAGAGATTTTAGTTTGGAGGCTTCTCTTTCCTTCGTGTTCAACTCACCCAAGGGCGTACTTTCCCTTATCTCTCGCTTCCATGGACTGAGCATCTTGGGAAGGGTCTGTTTACTTAGGCTTGCCTTCTGAGTTCCCTTTTGTTTCTGAACTCCTAAGCACTTCTCTCGCTCTGTTTCTGACACGCTGCCCTGTAATTCGTCTAGCATTCCCTCGCCCGCTGCTACAGTCGAGCGGCTTTTCTCATCCTGCAAAACCAGAAGGAAGAGAACAGGAACCACCTGGGGAGGGAGACGAAATAGATCAAGGCCAAACATGCCTCTCAGAGCTTTACCTTGCCCTGAGGTTCTGAATCCACTCCGCGAGAGGAGGGTCTCCTCAAGCTGCACCTGCATTGGTGAATTTCCCGGGATTTGGCACCAGCTGTGACCTGCGTGTAATTGTCTCTCCAGCAAGAACGCACGCGGGCACCAGGATCCTTCCGCAACAAACGTTTATTCCAATGTAAAGGAGGAAAGACCCCGAGCCCAGAAGAGGCACTGTTTATATACCCTTGGAGCGGTGTGTTCACTTCTGATTGGCTGCTTACTCGTTACCCGCCAAAACGCCCCAGGCTAGGCTGTGACTTTGGCACGCTTTTACCATAGCACATGCGTGGTTTACTTGTTTACTTGGAGGAGCACCGGATGCCAGTGCCATCTTGTAATGGCGAATGCTATCAGCACAAGCCGCGGCTTTCCACAGGCTTTCAAGAAAATAAAAACAAAACCAATAAAAATCATGAACAATAAAAGAATATTCAGAGGAGTCACCATCCCTAACCTCAAGCTGTACTATAGAGCAAGAGTGATAAAAAAAACTGCTTGGTATTTTACAAAAATAGAATGTTGATCAATAGACTCAAATTAAGACAGAGAAAAAACCTGCACACCTATAAGCACTTAATATTTTATAAAGAAGACAGATCCATACAACAGAAAACAGAAGGTATCTTCAATATATCATGCTGAACTAACTGGATACTTGCATGTAGAAGAATGAAAATAAATTTATATTTATGACCCTGCAAAATACTCAAGTCCAAGTGCATCAAGCATGTCAACATAATTTCTGATAAACCAACTCTCATAAAAGATTAAGAGAGAAATATGCTTGAATACATTGTTAGAGAGGACAATTTGCTGCACAGAACACAGAAAGCTCAGGCTCGAAGATCAACAAGTGATAAATGCGACCTCATGAACTGCAAAGCTTCTCTAAGGGAAAGGACACTATCAATAAAACAAAATGTCAGGCTAAAGATCAGGAAAGAATCTTCACCAACCTTACATCTGACAGAGAGGTAATATTCAATATTTATAAGAGCTCAAGATGTTAATCTCCAATAACCCAAATAAGTCAAGTAAATAATGAGTCAGAGAGCTAAACAGAGAATTCTCAAAGAAAAATTTTAGTCATCAGAAAAATGCAAATCAGACCAACTCTGAAGTTCCCTCTTACACCCACCCGTCAGAATGTATAACATCAAAAATTTAACAGATAGCACATACTGGTGAAGTTTTAGAGCAACAGCAACACTCCAAATTTGCTGGTGTTAGTGTTAACAAGTACAATCACTGAGAAAATCAATTTGGACTTTTCTCAAAAAACTAGGAATAGTTTTACCACAAAAATATACCCAAAAGATGCTCCAGAATCCCACAAGGATACTTGCTCAAGTATGTTCGTAGCAACTGTATTTATGAAGTCCAGTAATTAGAAATAACCTAGATGTCCCTCAACTGAATAATGGATAAAGAAAATGTTTTGAGGCTGACTTTCTTTGGCAAGTGAGTGCTTTGGCTTTGACTCTACCAAAGTGTCACTTTAAATTGGTTGTGTGGTGTTTGTGTGGGCTGTGGTATATTTGTATGTATGTATGTATGTATGTATGTATGTATGTATGTATGTATTGAAGTGTGTGTGTCTGATGAGTGTGTGTGTGTGATAGGGTGTGTGTTCACTTGTGCTAGTGTGCTTATGTGTATATTTGTGCACACTGTTGTTTTTTAGTTTGTAAAGTGCTGGGAATCAATGTTAAGGACAAAGATGTGAGTCAGTGTCTACAACTGAGTTCTTGCCCAATCATGTACCTTTTATCTGTTTCACAATATTCAGTGTTTGTTTAAATAAAGAAGCATAAATGGTAAAAAAAAATAAATTGTGGAAGAAAAATAGTAAAGATAAAGATGGAAGATGCTTATTCAGAGAAAAGCTTACAGTAAACCCAAATTAGGACATTTAGATTTCTTGGAAATAACATCACAGCAGATACAAGAGGTAAGGGAGAACAAAACAGTTTTTACTGAAACATTCTGTACCTTAGGAAAAAAAGTAAATCTGGCCATAGTCACTGCTAACAAAGCAGTGACCTCTAATGTCACCTCACTGTGAAAGAACCCTTTTCTTCTCCCACCAGTAGGACTTGCAATTTCTCATGTTCCTTTATGAAACAGACCTTCCCCAATTAAAAATCTGAGACATTACACTGCCCTCTTTTCTGATTGTGAAGAATAACTGTAAGTACGTGGTATGTTTGTATGTATGTTGATGTGTGTTTGTGTATGTGTGTGTGTGTGATGTGTGTGTGTGCATGTGTGCACATGCATATGTGTATGTGTGTGCACACTAGTGATATTTACCTCTTTACAGTGCTAGGAATCAATCATAAGGACAAACACCCGAGTCAATGTCTAGAATTGTGGTCTTTTCCAAAGATATACATGTCAACATTTTGTTCCAGTTTCCCGAGAAATTTGGTGTCAAATAATTCTTAAGAGTTTGTTTTATAAAATGTACCTTTTATGTGTTTCACAAAATTCTGTGTTTGTTTAAATAGAGAAGAATAAATTAAAAAAATAAATTATGGAAGAAAATAGTGAAGATACAGTTGGGAGATGCTTGGTCAGCTAAAAGCTTACAGTAAGCCCAAATTAGAACATTTAGATTTCTTGGAAATAACATCACAGCAGATACAAAACAAAAAAAAAACAAAAAAAATCCTCTTCTCCCACCAACAGGTCTTGTAATTTCCCACTTCATGTCTGCCCGAGACTGAGCCCATTAACCTCTTGTTAACATGTATGTAAAGTAAGGAAAGGTTTAGGAGGACTTATGTTTTTACAGAGATTCTACATAGTTTAGTTGCTGGAGGAATGGGAATACCTTGCACCCTTGCATCTACAAGCAGACATAACTGAAATTGGCACTTTAACCATCTTTCTATTGCCCATACTCCAATTAATAATAACTCTCCATATTCCTGAAAGTAACACTAATATACTCATTGATACAAAGCTAGACATGAGTGGAGTAATTTCCTTGATCTGTCATTGTTCTCAAGAAATGTTCATGCCTCTGCAGGATACAGATTTCTACTTTATTTTGTCTATGCATAATAGAAGAAAACCAGTACCCAGTAAGAAGTAAGTGGCTCCAGTGCCTCAGTTTTTGGGGAACGGAAGAGCAGGAATGTGGGAGTTGTTGGGTGAGTGGGGAATACTATCATAGAAGCAGAGGAGGGGGAATGGGATATGGGGTTTCAAGGATTGGGGATACCAGGCAAGGGGATAACATTTGAAATATGAATAAAGAAAATATCAATCTTGCCAAATAAAGAGAAAAAAAGAATTGAATGGCTCTTTCAAACATCAGAACCATAAAAGAAAATTGAAACAATCTTACCAAGATTGGAGTAATTAGCTAGAATGAGGAAATTCAGAATTCGTGAAATTATGAGACAAAATTTTCTGAAAAATTACTACTAGTAAAATACTTACAGCTAGGCAGGGACTTTTTATTGATTAAGTCATTTATTTAATTAACATTCAAATTGTAGCTTTCCATCCATTCCCTCCTTCCAATGTCTCCTTCTCCCCTTCCCTCTCTGCTCAACCACTTTCTCCCCTTATATGTGAAACAGGACAGAACTCTATTAATATTAATCAGCCTTTATATACCAAGTTCTAGCAAGACTCTGCATATATCTTTTATTGAAGTCAGAAAAGACAGTCCAGTTAGGGGAAAGGAATTTAAAGGAACACAATGCAGTCAAAATACCAAATGTTACCTCTCTAAGAGTCCCACATGCAGAGCGAGATGCACAACTGTTGTATGAACACAGAGGACCTAGATCCATGCCATGCATGCTCTGTGGTTGGTAGTTGAGTCTCTATGAGCAACTATGGGCCCAGGTTATTTGATTCTTTGGGATTTCTTGTAGTGTCATTGATCACTCTGGCTCCTTCAGTCTTTCCTCCTTCTCATGTACAGTAGTTCCCAAGCACTGATTAATGTTTTTCTGTGCTTTTCTGCATTACTTTCTTTTAGTTGCTTGGCAAATCCTCACCTTTGTTTGTTTTGGTAAGTTCCTGTCCATAAGTATAGCAGAATATCTTTAATGGCATCAGGGGTGGTCACCCTCTCACTATGTGGGCATCAAGCCAGGCAAGTCATTGGTTAGTTTTTCCTTCAAATTGTCCATCTTTTACCCCTGTACATTTTGTAGGGAAAGGCCAAACATACTCTGTCTTGGAGTCCATCTCCATTTTCAAAGAAAAAGAGCCTGAGAACTTGATCTGAAGGTGAACCCAACTGCACCCATGTTCCAGCAAGCATCAATCAGCTTTACTCTGGGCCATAGCCTAGAGTTACCCTCTAGCTACTCCCTAGCAGCAACCAATCAGGATAAGTCTGATACTTCCAGATATACTTTCAGACTTTTTGTTATTGTTCTTGTTTTTACTTCAGAGCACCCACAGATTGCCTTATGATTCTCATTTAATTAAATGTTTGCCAGTCTGGAAACATCCTTGTTTGCTTACCATTTCCTATATAAATCTTATCCTGATGAGGGCTGGGGGCTTAACTTTCCTCTCTTGCTATGGCATGTGGGCCCAAAGTCAAGCTTGAATATGGTCCCTACTTAGATTGCATCAGAATTGGCTCCCTGCTGTTCTTTTGAGGTTCAAAAATCTTCTGTAATGGACACAGCACTATGAAAGACAAGTTGTGGGACTAAGATTTTGAGGTTGGGTTAATTTTCCAATTCCTCCACTGGAACACTTGCGTGGTTATAGGAGATGGCCAGTTTAGGCTGCATACTGCTTATTGCTCAGAGACTTATCTAGAATCAGCCTTATAGAGTTCTTGGAATTTCAACTGTACTAAGATTATAGATCTTCACAGAGATGCCACCCCTGTTGGGTTGTAGTGTTTGTGAGTGGAGTGGGGCTGAATTGTGGGTTGCAGTTGTGGCCCTTGCCAAGGGGATATGGCTGCTGTTTAGAGAGACAGAGGCACGGGAATTTGTGTTCTCTCCACATCACTGTCAGGCAGAATTGGCGATGTGTGAATCCATGGGACTCAGCTGCTGGTATGGAGAACACAGTCTTAGTTCCTGAGGGGAGAGGGAGAAGCACTGGCTGCACCTGCAGGGATGAGAGTCTTGGTTCAAGGCAATCGCTTAGCTGAGTTACAGCTGGCCTGGCTTGCCTACTTGAGCAGCTGGGCCTCAATGGTTAGAATGTAGAGAGGTTGTCAGCTGGAGATTAGGCAGTTGGGCAGCTTTTTTCCTCACTGATTACCAAGGATGTGAGATAGTTTATGATCTTAAAATGTTTCTTGTCATGGTGGAAAATGGATAAAATTATTCCCTGGTATTTTCAAGTTAGGCCTAACATAAAATACCTTTTGTAAGGAGGAGGGTCTGGGAAAGAATGCTTAATTGGCTGCACTCTCTGGCCTTTAGGTATCTTATTAATATGGAGATCTATCTTGAGGCTCCTTGGCCTGTTGTCATGCTCTCTACCTGTGGAGAGACTATTGGGGGTGTTGTCCTATATGCCTGAAAGGCTCTGAGAGATGGAGGTCTTTACCTTGTTTCAGGAGCCAAAAGTCTGGGAGCATGGCAAAATGCATGCTGTTCCTTGCAGGGAAACCTGTGGGGCCACTAACCTACTGGATCTCTGGGCATCTCTAGCCAGTGCTTGACTAGAAACCATGCTGTCCTTTCACAGTCCTAAAACCCCTAATGAAGCTGATTCTCTAAGTACTAACTTGCTCCACCCTCCCCTAACCTCCTTCCCCATTTCCATTCTGACCACCCTCTCTAAGCTAGTTTTCTCCCTCCATCCATCCACCTCCTTCCCCATATCTAATCTATGTCTCCCCTTTTAGTGAGAAGCAAGCATCCTGACTTAGGCCTTCTCTTGATATCCACCTGTGTCGGTGTTGTGGATGGGTTGTTTATATTTTGATGCTGATTCTGCTTTCAGATGGCCTGCAAAGAAGGAATGATTCAAGTACTCAGGTGACACATCTTGTGAACCATTCCCCAATGAAAAAAGAAGGTGATCACTGGGAGAGTAGGTGGGACATCCAGGTTGGATAAGGGAAGACAGGAAGCAAGAGAGAGAGAGAGAGAGAGAGGGTCCTTTTCAAACAGAACAGAAATAGGGCATGATGTAGCTACAAGTGTCTCCCAGGCTTATGACAGGATTTGCCACCAGAGGAATTAGAATTAATATGGCTTGCAAGATTAGCATTCTACTTGTTGCACCCAGAGATAGAATTACCATTGTGTGGTGGTTTTCTTCTTGTGGAGGAGAACTGAGTTCAAGAGAGAAAGGCAGCAAAGTGTGGGTTTGCCAGATGTGCACCAAAAAGGCCATAGGGGTTTTGAACCACCAGGCTAATGTGGTGGTGCCAGACCAGAGGGAACTTAATGAGTCTGGTGGAGAGATTGTGGGGTTCTTGTGCCATATGGCCCACTAGTGCTAGACATACTGTGGGAACTGGAACTGTTGATCATTTTTAATACTTCTCACAACAGGGTCGAATTTCAGAGTTGATGTAGTCTGCATTTCCTTGATGACTAAGGACTTTAGTCATTTCTTTAAGTGCTTCTTGGCCATTAGAGAGTCAACTTTTGAGTAATCTGTGTAGCTCTGTTTCATTTTTTCATTGGGCTATTTTGGTTGCTGATGTCTAGCTTATTGAGTTCTTTATATATTTTAGATATTAGTCCTCTGTCAGATGGAAGTTGGTACGTATAATTTCTAAATCTTAGGCTACCATTTTGTGATAATAGTGTCTTTTGCTTTACAGAGTTTTGCAGTTTCATATGGTCCCATTCATCAATTGTTGATCTTAGAAACTGAGTCATTGGTATCCTGTGCAGGAAATTGGTTCCAATAACAATGTCTTCAAGGCTATTCTCCATTTTCTTTTCTATGAGATTTATCATATCCAGTTTGATGTTAAAGTCCTTGATCTACATGAACTTGAGTTTTGTGCAGTGTGATGAATATGGATCTCTTTGCAGTCTTCTACACATAGATATCCAGTTAGACCATGTCCATTTGTTGAAGCAGCTTTCTATTTTCCATTGTACAGTTTTGGCTTCTTTATCAAAAATCAATTGTCCATAGATAGATCTGTGAGTTTACTTGTGGATCTTTATGTGATTCCATTAATCAACCTCTCTGTTTCTGAATGAATACCAACAGATTTTATTTTTGTTTCATTTTGGTACAGCATGTATTAAGGGATGGTGATGCATGCAAATTTTTATTTAGTGTTCAGGACTGTTTTGGCTATTGTGGTAGGTATTTTTCTTTTTGCATATTAAAATCCACATTGCTATAAAAATTATTTTGGAATTATGATGGAGACAGCAATGAATCTGTAGATTACATGTGGTAAGATCGCCATTTTTACTATACTAATCCTGCTGCCAAGCCATCCAATCATACCTTTTTCAATTTCTTTGTTTTGGGATTTGAAGTTTGTATAATTCAGATTTTTAACTTGCTTGGTTAATATACATATATATATATATATATATATATATATATATATATATATGGAGAGAGAGAGAGAGAGAGAGAGAGGGCTATTGATTTCTTTTTCTTAATTTTGTATCAACACCTTTACTGAAGCTGTTTATCAGCTTTATGAGTTCTCTGATGGATTTTTTGTAGTTGCTTATATATACTATCATATTGTGTGTGAATAGTGATTTTTCCACTTCTTAATTTCAGATTTATATACTGTTGATCTCTTTAGTTGTTTTATTGTTCTGACTAGTATTTGAGGTACTATATTGAATAGATAGGAAGAGAGCTGCCAGCATTGTCTTGTCCCTGATTTTGAAGGGACTCTTTAAGAGTCTCTCCATTTAGCTTGATTTTGGCTGTGCTTGCTTTTCATCAATTTGATTATGTTTATGTATGTGTGTTGTATCTGTGACCTCTCTAATACTTTTTAACATACAGGATTGTTGGACTGTCAAAGAATATTCTGCATCTGATGAAGTGATCTTGTCGTTTTTTTCTTTAAATTTGTTTATATGGTGAATTATGTTGAAGGGGTTTCATATTTTCAACAATTCCTGCAGTGCTGGGACTTCTCAGGGCTGTTCACCTTGCTTCAGAGGATTTAGCAAGCAAAGAATGTGGGTGGGTAAACGGAAGCTTGCAAGCATGGCATGGTTCAGGCTCAGCAACTGAGATGAAGTTGGGCAGAGATGTGGCTAGAGAATGGAGGTCCCTCTGGGATAGCAGGCTGCTCTGGACAACTTAGCCTGTCCACAGGACTTACTTAGAAACACAGATGTTATTTTGTAATGAGAATTATCTCTAGAAAACTTAAATTTATTAATAATTATAAGCATTCTAATCCCTACCATGCCTTAGCCTGAGTGCTTATGAAGAAATTTTTATGCGTTGAGGATTATCTAAACCCTGACTTTCCCTTCATATTGTACATTCTTAGTTAAAGCTCTGAACTATATCTGGTATAATAACTTCATTGGTGAAGTTCTTATCTATCAATTATGAGGACCTGAATTTGATGATACAAAACCCATCTGCGAAAACAAAGCCTGTGGATAAAATATGTCTCCAGAGTTTACAGTTCTTGATATCCTTGTACAAATCCAGACTTTGATACCTAGCACACAGGTCAGGTGGCTCAAAACTATCTATAACTGCATTTTAAGGGAAACTGGATACCTTCTTTTTACCTTACCTAAAAACAACCTACATGCATGTAAATTAAAAAATATTTTAAAGTCAGGTGTATTGGTATAATTTTGCAACCCAGAGGTGGGGTAATTTTTGAATGCATGTCTCAGGGTTCATTCTAGCATAATTGGTTTGCTCTGTGTGAGAAGTGAGACCCTGCCTCGAGGAGAAAGTAGATGCACCTGAGAAACATTACCTCTGGTAGTCATTGACAAATATGTATGTATGGCACACACACACACACACACACACATGTTTATAATCACTCACTTTTTTTTATGGGGTGGTTTGGCTGACATATGCAGCCTTGGTATTTTTCATCAGATAAATTCTAAC